GAACCAGTGGATGGAAGCACTCTCTCTCTCTCTCTCTCTCTCTCTCTCTCTCTCTCCCTCCCTCCCTAACTCTGCCTTTCGAGAGAAAACAGTGTGGTATGGGCACAGAGACACACACATGGACCAATGCACCGGAACACACAGCCCAGAAACACTCCTGCACATACAGATGAATGATTTAACGAGGGTCACTCAGTGGGGGAGCAACAGTCTTGGCCACAACTTGGGCTTGGAGAACCGGCACCCACACACCCCAGCAGGAAGCTGTAGCCTCGCCTTAGGCCGTATACACACGTGAACTCAGAAGAAACTGAAGGGGGCTGGTGCTGTGGCAGAGTAGCTTAAGCCTCCGCCTGCTGTGCCCGCATCCCCGATGGGCGCTGGTTCGTGTCCCAGCTGCTCCAGCAGTGGTCATCAAAAGGGAAGGAGTTCCGACACCTGCTACCACACAGGTGACCCTGGAGGGCTCGGTGCTCGGTGGACGACCCAGTCAGAGGCAGAGAGCAGAGCTGGCTCCTGGGGCTGAGGGGAGGACAGACAGCTGTGGTGGCTGGGCACCAGTGGGACTTGCTTACTGCCAATGACATGGCTGAAATGGTAAACTGTGTTATGCATATTTCACCACGATAAAGACATCTTTTAAAAAAGATTTATTTGAAAGGCAGAGTTAGAGAGAGAGAGAGGGAGATCTTCCATTCACTGGTTTACTCCCCAGATGGCTGCAATGGCTGGAGCTGGGTGGATCTGAAGCCAGCAGCCAGGAGCTTCATGCGGGTCTTCCACATGGGTGCCCAAGGACTTGGACCATCTTCTGCTGTTTTCCTAGGCACATTATCACGGAGCTGGATAGCAGGTGGAACAGCCAGGACTTGACTGGCGCTCATATGAGATGCTGGCGCTACAGGTGGCTGTTTCACTCGCTGCACCCCAACACCGGCCCTGTGGGGAGCAACTGGGAACAACTCGGACTAGACTAAGTTACTGGAATTAAGACTTATTCTATGCATCTGCTCTCCCACAATATGGCGCTGGGAGAGGAGGAAACAGCTTCTACATAGCTGCCTCCAGTTCAACCAATAAGCAGCAGGACCTGCTCCTGATTGGAGGAGAGCAGCGTACTCGGCGTGTGGGTAGCAGAGTTGGGATTGGCGGAAGAGGACTATAAAGGAGGAGAGAGACAACATGCACCAGGAACATCTATCTGAAGGAACACCTGTGCAGCCCCCCGAGAGAGCCGGCCGGTGGTGTGCCGCTCCCCCGCGGAAGTGGGGAAAATGGCGGGGGGAACCGCCCTTCCACGGAGGTGGAAGGGTCGGTAGCCAACCCGGGAAGAACCAGCAGCAAACCCGGGAAGGGCCGAGCAGACAAAAGAACAGCACAGGGTCCTGTGTCGTTCCTCCGCGAAGACGGGGAGCGACACGGCCCAGATAAAAACATTCAAAAAAAAAAAAAAACACGTCAACTCTTGTCACTCTCCAGCTGACAACTACCAATGGCTCCCTCTGCCACAGAGGGGCAGAGGGTGCAGCCTGGCTCCACCCTCCCCCACTGCAGCCCCTCACCTCCCAGCCCACTCCCCAACTGTGCAGCCTGGCTCCACCCTCCCCCACTGCAGCCCCTCACCTCCCAGCCCACTCCCCGACTGTGCAGCCTGGCTCCACCCTCCCCTCCCCCACCCCAGCCCCTCACCTCCCAGCCTGCTCCCCGACTGTGCAGCCTGGCTCCACCCTCCCCTCCCCCACTGCAGCCCCTCACCTCCAGCCCACTCCCCAACTGTGCAGCCTGGCTCCACCCTCCCCCACCACAGCCCCTCACCTCCCAGCCTGCTCCCCGCCCGTGGGCCTGCTTGGCCCTCGCTGTCCCCACACAGGCCGTTCTCTGTCATCACAGCCTGGTATCATTTTCGTCACTTGTCAATCACATTCCTTGGAGCATGCTCATTAAGCACTTGTTAGGCGCGGAAATCTCAGTGCGGGGGGTGGGGTGGGGGGTTGGTGGCCTCCGCTCTTGAGGTCCTGCTTCCTAATCCCAACCCAAATCCGTTTCGGCTTAGGTTATCCTGGCTTCCTGGAGGAGGAGGGAGCCTGTCTCGTGCCTGGGGCTCCACGGGCAGGTCCCAGCAGACTCATCTCCCACACGTGAAAGCTGGGGTACCTCCAACGCTGGCTGCTAAGGACCGGCTCCTTAAACCTCCCGCCCCCTGCCGTCAGTTATGTCCACGGGGTGGCCTCGGATCTCAAGATGACAGCTCCAGCGGACAGACAGGTCTCAGAGCGGGTGGGCGACCCAGCTCTGGTGAGATGTAAGAGCAAGACTGCTAAGATCTTCCCGTCCTCAGCAGGAAACACTTTTTTGTCTTGAAGTTTGGAGTAGCAGCAGCCATCTTGGAGCCACGAGGCAATATGCACAGAGCCTAAAACCAACTCTCCAACTGCGGCAACAGAGACTCTGAGCCAAGGTCTTCCTTGCACCCTGCGTTTGGCTTCTGCAGCAGCAGACGTGGCCATGGCCGTCTCAGCCTGGCACCTGAGACAGGCCTGCTGGCAGGGTCCTTGGCCAGCACCTGCCACCCCTCCCTGTTCTGAGGTCTTGTCGCTGGGTCTTCAAACCTCGGCTCTGACCGGTAGCTTCTGTCCCTGAACTGTGTGGACCCTGCGCCTCTGCTGCCTCTCCCTTCACCCCTACCTTCCCGCACACCCTGGAGCCTGGTGCCCTGAGTTACCAAGCCACCCGCTGAAGGGCAGGATGGGCTGGGAGGAGGGGAGAGAAGCCGGGGTCTGAGACCTGGTCCCTGGGACTTGCTCAAGACTGCCCACCACTGGAGGATGGGCAGAGGAAGTTACCACGCCCAGAGCAGGTCACACAGGCACCTGGTCTCCCTACCAGGGCCCAGCCGCGGCACTCAGGGAGTAGAGGCCTTGTCCTTTCTCTCACTGGGACCTGCCAGGACCCACCAGGACCCACGAGGGCACGGTCAGCCACCGGCTGCCTGGTAAGCGGTCAGAGCCAGGTGAATCCGAGCGGGCTCCAGGCCATCTCCCAAAGTCAAAGCGGCCTGCAGAGCTCACGCCCAGCTCCGCTCAGTAAACCTGGCGAGGCCCTCCCAGCTGCAGCTTCCGGAAGCCCCCAGACCACTTGGCTGCTACTGCTAAGTGCTGCCATAAAAGGGGTTAACAGTAAGCCCCTCCTCCCATGTCAGGCCCTGGGGGGAGGCTCAGCATCCGGCCAGGTGGCCCCGTCAATCAAGTCCATCAACAGGTCCCCTAGGTGGGCAGCAGGGGCCAGCGGGATCCGGGGTTGATGCTCTCCTCCCAAGCACCCCGCCCTTGCCAGCCAACAGCCCAACTCCACTAAGACCTGGTGCAGGCGAGTTCAGTGGCTGCTGGCATTACGCAACAGGCACGTGGGCCTTCAGCCCTGGGGCTACAGAGAGGGACCTCACGGGCCTCCGCCACCTGCTCTCTGTGAGTGCCCGAGCTCTAACCCGGAACTCTGGGTTCCAGACTCCTGGCTTTGGCCTGGCCCAATTCCAGGTATTGCAGGCATCTGGGGAAGTGAACCCACGGGTGAGAGCTCCATTTCAGACACAGACTTGGTGCCAGTGATTGGTTTTCCAGGGTGTTGGAGGAGCTGGAGGGCTCGTGGGGGAAAGGCTGGCCATGATGCATCTGCCTCACGTAGGCTCCAGGCGCCGCTGCAGGGCAGGAGCCCAGGCCAAGGCCCCTCAGGCCAGCACCACGTGCCGTCCATCAGCGAGACCTACGCAGAAGCCAGCACCCTGGGGTACTGACAGGGGGCAACAGCCGGCACAGCTCTCGGGGGCTCCTGTGGACGGAGTGAGCAGGCGGGTCAGCACAGCAGAGTGGCGCCGGGGAGGGAGATCCCAAGGATGGGGTCGCCACCTGTCGCCCTGGGGCAGCTGGGACCGTTTGGGGCTTTATCTTTCGCTGTGCGTGTTCTCTGCCAGTCAAAAGGCTTCTAGACTGTTCTATCTCCCAACGGCCACTTCCCATGCGCCCTTCCTCCTAGCTCAGGCTCCTCCCCAAGCTTAGCCCACCCTGCTCTCACACACACTCGCAAGGGAAAGGCTGGCCAGCCAGGGACCCAGAACCCTGAGGCTTAGAAAAGATGTCCACACGACAGTCGCGCCCTACTGTGGGGCTGCCTCTCGCCCAGCGGCTCCTTTGTGCTTTGTGACCCTCGAGGGATTCCTCGCTCTCAGGGGAACCAGCGCCCCTGACCAGGAGCTGACCCTGAGGGCAGCGGCTTCCCCACCCTCTGCAGCGCGGGGCGGTGCCAGGGTGGCCTTGGGAACCACACCTGCTCCCCGGCCTCTCCTCCGCCTTCAGCCCCAGGGCCACCCTTCTCCCCCAGCTGCCTGGCCGGCCACAGGGCTGCTTGGGTCCTCAACGTGTGCCCCTCCCTCCGGCTGTGGGGGTCGGCAAGCGCGCCTCGCGCCAGCCTTCTCCATGCCGGGTCTCTCCCTTCCCTGTCCTCTCTCCCGCCACATCCTCGCGGCCGCCCCACCGGACGAGAGCTGTGCGGCTCCCTGGCTGTGCCTTGCGCTCGGCTCTGTGGGCCAGAGCCCGCGGTCGCATGGGGGAGGACCACGTGTGCACTCGGCTCTGCTCTGCCGAGACCACCCACTCGCCAAAGCACTGACAGAAACAGGAAGGAAGCAGGCAGGCACCGCCTGTTCCTCAGGGATCCCTCACCCAGCATGGCTAGGGCGAGGGGAGGGCGCCGCCGGGAGCCTCGAAGTCCGCCCTCGCCCCTGCACCTCGCCGGCCACTGCGGGCTCCAGGTGGGCCCCTCGGCCTCCTGACAGCTCTCTCCCCAGGCGGGGGCCCCAGGGCAGCTCTGAGCAGTGCCCAGGGGCCCGGGGGCAGAGCGGGGGCCCCGGGGCAGCTCTGAGCAGTGCCCAGGGGTCCGGGGGCAGAGCGGGGGCCCCGGGGCAGCTCTGAGCAGTGCCCAGGGGTCCGGGGGCAGAGCGACGATGGGGGAGACGCCGGAGCCGGCCCGCCCGGCGAGCTCCGCACCAGGCCCCGGCAGCGCTGCTGTCCTCGGGAAAACACGCCCCAGGCCACTTCCCCCGACTGCCGTCACCCGCGGCGCGCTCGTCCCTCTTCCTCTCCCAGTCCGGCTGGCGTCACCGTCCCCCGAGGCCCGGACCCCACCATTCCCGACCGCGGGCTCCGCCTCCGAGCCGAGCACGGCCCCTCGTGACGCCTCGGACGGCGCTCGCCGAGCTCACTCGAGGCGAACCGTCCCCGGGGCGGCACGACCAGTCGCCTTCGCTCGCCCGCCGGCCGCCTTGCTTGCTGCCCCGCCCTGCAGCCTGTTCGCCCGGCTGCCCCTTCCAACCCCTGCCCGTGGGACCGGCCGCTCGGCCCTCGCATGCAGGGCGCCCGCCCCCGGGACAGCGCGGGCGCAGGCGCAGGCGCGCGGGGCATCACGGGGCTTGTAGTTCGCACGCGGAAGGGCCGCGCTCCTGCCCTGCGCGCGCGCCTCCGCGACACTACAACTCCCACGGGGCAGTGGGCCGCGGGAGCCCGCGCCGACCGACTGGCCCGGCCGCTCCTCGCAGTGGGGCCGCCGGAAGATGGCAGAGGTGCCCGTGGGCAAGGATAAGTGCGGAGAGCGGCTCGTCTCGCTGCCCCTGTCCCGCATCCGAGTCATCATGAAGAGCTCCCCCGAGGTGTCCAGCATCAACCAGGAGGCGCTGGTGCTCACGGCCAAGGCCACGGTGAGGCGGGCGAGGACGCGGAGGGCGGGCGGGCGCGGGGCCGCCCTGAACCACCGCGCCGCGGAACCCGGCCCGCCGCGCTGCCCAGAGCCCTCGGCCCGCTCGCCGCCGGCGGCTGTCAGCAGGCGCGTGCGCGCCGCACTGCCGCTCCCACCCCCGCGTCCCTCCCGCCATCCCCTGCGCGGGTCCCGCCCCGCCCGCCCGCCGCGTCCCTCCCGCCGTCCCTTGCGCAGGTCCCACCCCGCCCACTGCGCGTCCCTCCCGCCGTGCCTCGCGCGGGTCCCGCCCCTCCCACCGCGTCCCTCCCGGCGTCCCCTGCGCAGGTCCCACCCCGCCCCACGCGCGTCACTCCCGCCGTCCCCTGCGCGGGATCCGCCCCGCCCACTGCGCGTCCCTTCTGCCGTCCCCTGCGCGGGGCCTGCCCCGCCCACTGCGCGTCACTCCCTCCGTCCTCTGCGGGGTTCCCGCCCCGCCCACCGCGTGCCTCCCGGCGTCCCTCGCGCGGCTCCTTCCCGCCCACCGCGGCCGGGGAGGGTTCTGCACGGGGCCCGCGGCGCTCCGGCTGCCCCGTGTGCTCCCGCGGGCTCAGCGCGCTTGTCCGTGCCGCCCAGGAGCTCTTCGTGCAGTACCTGGCCACCTGCTCCTACAGCCAGGGCGGCGGGCCCGAGCGGAAGGCGCTGACCTACAGCGACCTGGCGAGCACCGCGCAGCGCTCGGACGCGCTACAGTTCCTCGCAGGTAGCCGGCCCGGGACGGGGCGGGCGCGAGGGGGCGCGGGGCGCCGCTGACCCAGCTGACCCAGCTCTGTGTCCATCTCAGATATATTACCGCGGAAGATCTTGGCGAGCAAGTACCTGAGGATGCTGGCGGAGCGGAGGGGCGAGGAGGCGGAGGAGGGCGGCAGCGACGAGGAGGCCGCGCCTTGAGCCCGGGGCCCCGACCCCGGGTCCCCGCCGGCTGGAGCCCGGGGCCCGGAGCCCAGAACCCTGAGCCCGGGCGGGCCCCGGTTCCCGGCTCGCCCTGCGCGTTCCCGCACTGCCAGGTGCAGGCTCTGTCTGGTGTTTTAACATTGTGGTTGGCTCTTTGCCCAGATACTATTTTTTTATTGTAAAGCACCGTGTTTGCGTTTTCTATTAAAGACCGGTCCGTATTCTCACAGTGAAGTGTGTCTGGAATACTGTTAGAGCCGGGTCACTCTGAGCTGTGGATCCCCGAGGGTCCAGCGGTCCAGACGGGCGCCCCGCGACTCCGGGGATCCACAGGTGGGAGCGCTCGCTTGCTCCCTCCCAGAGAAGCTTAGAAGACAAAAACATTGCTAACTACTCTAGAAAAACATTCATTTATCTGCGAGGTAGAGTCACGGAGGGAGACGGGGCTCCCATCTGCGGTTCACTCCCTAAACGGCCGACCCGAAGCCAGGAGCTTCTGCCGGGTGTCCCACCTGGGTGCAGGGCCCAGGCACTTGGGCCGTCTCCACTGCTTTCCCAGGCCACAGCAGGGAGCTGGATCAGAAGTGGAGCAGCCGGGACCCGAACCGGTGGCCGTGTGGGATGCCGGCTCCACAGGCGGGAATTCCGCCCTCTGCACCACGGTGCCAACTGCGGAACTGCTGAAAGGCGGCCGCCAGCCCTGACCCTGCGTGGGAACAGCGGGCTGATGGGTCCAGGCCGTGAGAACCACCGTGCAGGGCTGACGGAGAGCAGAGCACAGACACGCGCGGCAAGGCCCTGTGGAGCCGGGAGCTTACGAACACCCAGGACTGATTTATGTATTTGATTTCGTAATTTCACGTGGAGTTTTCCTCTGGGAATAAAAGTCCATAGATTAGGGGGCTGGCACTGTGGCGTAGCAGGTAAAGCCACCGCCTGCAGCGCCGGCATCCCATACGGGCATGGGTTCCAGTCCCGGCTGCTCCACTTCCGGTCCAGCGCTCTGCTGTGGCCTGGGAAAGCAGTAGAAGATGGCCCAAGTCCTTGGACCCTTTCACTCGCGTGGGAGACCTGGAAGAAGCTCCTGGCTTCAGATCAGCTCCGCTCCGGCCATTGCGGCCAACTGGGGAGTGAACCAGCAGATGGAAGACGCCCCTCCCCCTGCCCCCACGTAACTCTAATTTCTGAAGTTCTAATTAACATCCAGTGCATTTGTCCTTTTTAGTGTCAGGTCTGTCTGTGAGCATTGACAGACGTGCAGTTCTGTAACCGGTCGATGATCGAACACTCCCGTCACCCTCAGCCTCCCTGTGCCGTGGGCGCCGCCCCCCCCCCCCCCCCCCCGGGACTCAGCTGCTTGCTCTCCGCTCCTGCACGTTAGGACCGTGTGTTGGCGTGTGGCTGTGTGCTGCCGCCAGCACGGAGGGCAGCCCCTTCGTCCTCACGGCCCGATAGACGCCAGCCCGAGTGGCTTTGTGGCCGGCGGCCGATAGGTTGTGTGGCTCCACCTCCAAAACTTCACAGAGTTGATTTTGTGAGACTTCCCTGCGTCATGGAAACTCTTGATTTTCTGCAAGCATTTAAGAATGAAGTTCTTAAGGGCTGGCACTGTGGCATAGCAGGTAAAGCCGCCGCCTGCAGTGCCGGCATCCCATGTGGGCACCAGTTCGAGTCCTGGCAGTTCCACTTCTGATCCAGCTCTGCTATGGTCTGGGAAAACAGAAGAAGGTGGCTCAAGTCCTTGGGCCCCTGCACCCACGTGGGAGACCTGGAAGAAGCTCCTGGCTCCTGGGTTTGGATCAGCACAGCTCTGGCTGTTGCAGCCATCTGGGGAGTGAACCAGCGGTTGGAAGACCTCTCTCTCTGCCTCTCCTTTTCTCTCTGTGTAACTCTTTCAAATGAATAAATAAATCTTTAAAGATGAAGTTCCTAGTTGATGTGCCATATGCAGATGGGACTGGACCTGGCCCCTGCCCTGCGGTCTGTGCACCCCACCCATCATCGTGAAGCACCTGAGGCCCCTCCCTCTGCTCCCCTGTGCGTGGGGGGTACCCTGCTTAGATTTCGACTGGACCTGGCCCCTGCCCCGCGGTCTGTGCACCCCACCCATCATCGTGAAGCACCTGAGGCCCCTCCCTCTGCTCCCATGTGCGTGGGGGGTACCCTGCTTAGATTTCGCTTCCTAAGGTTGATTGACTTGAAGGCAGCATGGCAGAGAGGGGCGGGGCAGGGAGAAGCGAGTTCTCTTCCCCAGACGGTGTAGCGGCCAGTGCTGGCCAGGGCAAAGGCAGGGCCCGTCTTGGCCATCTGCTGCTGCTTCCCAGGCCGTTCGCAGGGAGCTGGACGGGAAGTGGACAGTGCGGGCCACGTGTTTGCAGTCCTGCTGATTCTGGGCTCTGAACAAGGCTTCCGGTTCACTGGGTGAGCTCCTTAGGACTGGGGCACCCGCTCGGTCACAGGACGGTGTGCTGTTCTGCACAGTGGCTGTGCCACTGCGGCACGTGGGGGGGCTCCGCCTCTCTGAATTCCAGTGGTCGGCACACAGGTCGTGGCTGGGTTTGCTTCTGTGACAGCACGAAGCAGTTCTGCCTGTTGTGGGTCACACTCCTCCCTGTGGCCCTGGTCAGCCACAAAGATTCTTCTGGGGACCCGTGCTGGGACCCCCATTCTGTCCCCACAGCAGTGGGGTGCTCTGTGAGCAAACCCCAGAGGAGCCCTGGCCAGCTGCACCCCTGAACCCACCACGCGCACTGCGCATCTGACTGTTGGCGTGTTCTTGGTTCCTCTGTCCACTGTCAGCTTCCTCCCGTGCCTGCACGGTTAGCAGCCGAGACGCTGGCCCGTCTTGGAGGGCTTCTGATCCCTGGGAGCCGAGATGGTGGCCGTGTGCCCCCACGTGGGACACCTGCAATGTGCCTGACACCGCTGCTGTGGCGTTTGGGGAGTGAGCCAGCAGGCAGGAGAGCTCTTCTCATTGCCTTTCCCGTAAAATGAAAAGAAACTAGCCAACACCGGGCAGCGCTGGGGGCCGTTTCATTTGTGTGCACTGTGTGTTCATCAGATTCTCCCATCTTGAAATAACCACACTTTACAAATACGTCCCGAGACCTGCCTGCCTGTGGGGACGGCTGCCCTGCGGCGCTGCGGCGCCTGGAACCCTTTCCCCACTGCAGTAACACGCGGCGCCGGCACCGGGGTCTTTCCTAGGCGACAGGAGCCGGAGGAAGTGGATTGCTGGGGGCACAAAATGGCTCTGTGGTTTGGGGTACGAAGAAGTACAGGGGTCTGTGGAGTGGGCGTCTGGTACAGCATTAGGGCGACCTGGGGGTGGAGGGTGCACGGTGGCACCGTGGCACCACGGGTTAAGCCTCCGCCTGCAACACCGGCGTCTCACATGGGTGGCTGCTCCACTTCCCGTCCAGCTCCCTGCTGATGTGCCTAGGAGGGCCGCGTGCTCGGGCCCCTGCTCCCATATGGGAGACCCAGATAAAATTCCAGGTTCCTGGTTTTGGCCTGGCCCAGACTTGGCCATTGTAGCCATTTGGGGAGTGACCCAGCAGACAGGAGATTTGTCCGTCTGCTCCTTCCCTCCCTCCATGCCACGTTCTGTCTTTCCAAATAAATACTTTTTTTTTTTTTAAATGGTATATGGTTCTGGGGCCGGCGCTGTGGCACAGCGGGTTAAAGCCCTGGCCTGCAGTGCCGGCATCCCATATGGGCACCGGTTCTAGCCCTGGCTGCTCCTCTTTGATCCATCTCTCTGCTATGGCCTAGGAAAGAAGATGGCCCAAGACCTCGTGCCCCTGCACCCATGTCTGCATCCATGTGGGAGACCCAGAAGGAGCTCCTGGCTCCTGGCTTTGGATCGGCACAGCTCCGGCCCTTGAGACCAATTGGGGAGTGATCCAGCAGATGGAAGATCTCTGTCTACCTCTCTCTGTAACTCTTTCAAATAAATAAAATAAATCTTTTTTTTTAAAAAAGGTATACGGTTCTTTAAGAACTACATCTTAATGTATTTTAAAATGTGGAACAAATAGACCAAAATGCTGGTAATTACCTGTTAGTGTTTACAGGCAGTTTAAAATGTTCACATTTATAGTTACCTGAATTCTCTAGATACTTTTTTTTTTTGACAGGCAGAGTGTACAGTGAGAGAGAGAGACAGAGAGATAAAGGTCTTCCTTTGCCGTTGGTTCACCCTCCAGTGGCCGCCGCAGCCAGCACACTGCAGCCGGCGCACCGTGCTGATCCAATGGCAGGAGCCAGGTGCTTTTCCTGGTCTCCCATGGGGTGCAGGGCCCAAGCACTTGGGCCATCCTCCACTGCACTCCCTGGCCACAGCAGAGAGCTGGCCTGGAAGAGGGGCAACAGGGACAGAATCCGGTGCCCCGACCGGGACTAGAACCTGGTGTGCCAGTGCCGCAAGGCGGAGGATTAGCCTAGTGAGCCGCGGCCTAGATACATTTTCTTAAAAATCAGAAAATAAGGACCAGGGTTGTGGCTCAGCGGTTAAACCTCTACTCGCAATGCCAGGGTCCTATCAGGCAGCAGGTGCAAGCCCTGGCTGCCCCACTTTTGGTTCAGCCCCTTGCTGACCCTAACCCTCACACATGCCCGGGCCCTGCACTCACGTGGGAGACCAGGACAGAGCGCGTGGCTCCTGGCTTCTGCCTGTTCCTGTCCCAGTCTTTGTGGCCATCCAGGGAGAACCAGAGGATGGAGGATTGCGCGCCTCTTTTTAATTAATTTTGAAAGAGTGACAGGGGGAGGAAGAGAGAAACAGAGATCTTCCATCTGCTGGTTCACTTCCCAGATGGCTGCAACAGCTAGAGCTGGGCCAGGCGGGAGCCAGGAGCTTCATCCAGGTCTCCCATGTGGGTGCAGGGGCCCAAGCACTCGGGCTGTCCTCCACTGCTTTCCCAGGCCACAGCAGGGAGCTGGATCAGAAGTGGAGCAGCCAGGACTTGAACCGGCGCCCAAATGGGATGGCGCTGGGTTCAGCAGCCCCGCTGTAGTGCCAGCCCCACACCCTAACCTTTGTTAGCAACAGCGTCCACCCTGGTGACCTGCAGCCGTGTTCTGGGTTCCCTCATCCGGCCCTTTCCCAGCATCACCACCGTCCACTGTCCTCAGCCTAGCCGGAAGTCAGGGCCAGCCAGGCAGGGCGAGGGCCCCAGGGCTCCGAGGGCAGTGCCGCTGAGGCCTGCCTGCCTCCGAGCCCGGCTC